ATATTTCTCTCATTGAAAAACTTCATTGGACGTGTTAATAAACTCCACCAACATTTATGTGTTTTTGGATTATAGGATGTGGAAACTCAAGTCTATGTTAAGGACCAAAACCTATAACTTTATGTGCAACTTTTGCTCCTGATTCCTTTCATATTTAAGGACATGATTACTTACTTAGGAACAGGAAAGTCATGAATTGGAGAAATTAGGGAAGGGAAGAGAGGAATGAGAATAGGATCAACTACTCCCCCCAATCAATCTAATTCTTGGTTTTCAAGTTATTGGCTTAGGACATAATTTTTTATTCCTTATGTGTTGGTAAACATAGGGGAAGCCAGGAATTGGAATAATTCCAATGCCCATTCCTAATAAGTAATATATGAACACCGATTGATCATTCTGACTTTGATCTTTCTCATGGCTTCTTACCTTTGTATTTGATGTATCAGGAGATAACAAAGTTCATAAACCAGTGCAATGAGGTGAAGGCCGCCACTGCTGCAAACAAGGAAGGTGGCCAATTAAGCATTGTCAAAACACCTCAAGAGTCTGGTAGTAACGCAAAGCAACAGTAGTTGCCGATCTTGTAGAATTATGAGTGTTGAAAGTGATAGGTTGTCTGGAAACACTTAAAAAACAAACCACTGCTGAGAATTTTGTTGTGTTGTATTGGGGTCTTGTAAGATTTTTCTTTCTTAGCAAGGCCAACCTGGGAATTTTATTGGTACTTACTGCTTCAACTCGTTATGTAGTTTGTAGCATGTAATTAAGGCCTAAAGTTTTGGGGTTTAGATTGTTACCTTTCGTATCAATTGTATCAACTATAAATATTGGTATATGATCTGATCCTTCGCAAGTGTGTGACTAGTATCATTCATTAAGCGACCCAAGCTGCACACTGAGATAGTATCTTCTTATTCTGTCCAGGACCTCTACTTCGTGATGACTCCATTTTTACTCGTAAAGAAAACAAAACCATTTGTTTGACATAAATGCAGTAGTACATTGGATTGCATGTATGTCGGAGCAAATTGGCAAAGGCATAACTAACCCAAATACCACACAAGAAAGAAGAAAAATTTGATCATATACTGTGTTTGACCTGTTTTGCCTAATTCCTATATCATCTTCCAAACCCGAATCAGATTTGATCATGTTGCTCTGGATCTGTTTCTGCGTCAACTTAAGTTCCATAAAAGATTCAAAATTCAACATGCCTATCAATCTAAATTTCATTTTGTATACAAAGCTTGAAAAAAATACTTCGAAATGGCACAACACTTGCTCTTTTTATATGATCACATTTTGAATATTACAATTAAAAAGGCGAATAAGGCACTCATAGAGCATTTCCACCGAGGCCCCCTTGCCTCGGGCTAGGGGAGTTTTTTGCAAAAATTGGTTTCCAGCGGTGAGCCCAAGCATGGGCTGGAGTGGGTCCCACGCAATTCGGGCTGGCTCGAAGGCCAGTTCAGCCTGAGGTCCAAAACGCAGGCTGGTGCTGACGTCAGCCCACTCATTTGATTTTTTTTTGCCACGTGGCGTATTCTGGGCTCTCCGATCTGATTTTTTCCTCCAATCCAACGGAAGCCAATTTTTTTGCAATAAAATACTGGAAAAAATTCGGAAATTTTTTAAAAAAATACCCAAAAATTATTGAATTTTTTTCTATAAATACCAGCCTTTTTATTTATTTAATTTATCTGAAATTTGAAATTGAAAATTTTATCCGATTATGAGATATGAATAGTATTGACACGTAGGAACCCGAAAATCTTATCCGAAAATATTATCCAAATTAATTATTGAGGTAAAAAAAGTTGTGAAAAAAATTAAAAAATGAATAGTAATTGCCCTTTGCCATGACAACGGGTGAAAATGGAAAATACTATTTGCAAGGGCAACTACTATTCACGTGAATAATGGTTGTCCTAGCTCCCCCTTGCCATGGCTAAGGGCAAATGGGTGGAGTTGCTTTTAAATTTCCCTCACCTCTCATCAACCACATTAATCGCATATTTGCTAGGATCAAAATGATTAAAAACATTGCGAACGAATCTCACTAGTTCATATACTGAACGATCATCATATTCAGACTTTGGGTCATAATTGTATATCTTATCAGTCAAAGTAGGCAATCTTTGAGCATACCATGGCAAAATCCTACTAAAAGCACTACCACATAAATCATCAAGATTCCCCATGAAATGGAAATATATATTCCTATCTACTGGAACCATAAAAAAAAAGAAGGATACTTGATTAATTTGTCAACAAGTCGCACAAGTTGCCTTGGTGGATGACTTCCGCATGTGTCTGGGTTATATCGAAGAAAGAGCCGGGAGGGGAGGGTGTCTAAGAATGGGTATACAACAAGGGCTAGGGTTTGTTTGAAGAGAGAGAGAGAAAAAAAAAAAAAGGACATTTTGAAAAAAGCAAAAGGAGAGAGAAAAATTTTAAAAGAAGCAAAAATGGACAAAAATGCCCTTATTTATTTTTAGATTTCCTAAGGAATCCAATACATTTGCATGTCTTTGATTTGAAAGTTGAGTGGTTTTTTTGTCTTTTTTGAAAAAGCTTTGGCTTTTTCCAAAAGAGAAATTTTTTTTATGTCTAAAACCTAAAAAACCTAAAAAAAAAAGGAGTGGATGGCAGGTAAGTAGAGGGTAGGGGTGGGCAACATAGATGAGAGGGTGGGGTGGAGGTGGTTTGCGGTTATGATAGGGTAGGGTGGTGGTGGGTGGCGGTGAGGAGATGAAGATGAAGGCTGTTGGAGATGGATTTTTATTTTATTTTTATTTTAAGTTTTTATTTATTTATTTATTGAAATAATAATATTTTCTTATTTATTTAATGAATAATATTATCAGACCATGAGCCACCATATGAGTGGGTCATAAATGCCACGTAAGTGGTTAACATACTTATCAATAGCAAGAGTGACGGTAGGTATGAAATACGAAAAAAAGTTAATGTAGTAAGGGTTGAAACTAGATAAACTTTAGTATAGTAAAGTGAAAATTACTATATAAAAAAAGAAAAAGAAAAAAGAAGAATAGTAATAGAAGATAGAAACACAGCTACAATGTGCTCATTCATTTTAAAAAAAATTTATTTCAGATTTTAAAATTTTTTCATAATATGAGTGAGTCCACGTGGCTCATTCATTGCTACATCAAAATTTAACAAACCTCTTAACGGATAAGATTGACGGTGTGTATAAAAGTCTTGCGAAAATAAACGTTAGGTATGAAATAAAGACGAAAAAATACTTCGGATACCAAAGGCTGAAACTCATTGAACATCAAAGTAGTAAAGTGAAATTTATCCAATTATAAGAAAAACAGAATTTCAAGTGATTCTCTTTGTTTTTTTTTTTTCCATTTATTTATATTAACAACTGTAAAATCGGCAGTGCACCAAACAAGAAAGAAACACATCTTCAATGTGCTCTAAACTTAACTTGTTATCGTTGTCATTTTCTGTTTTTGAATACAAAAACAATGAGACAGACGCATAAATAAGAGAAGTTGAGGTGGATATGAGTCATCAAATCTTGATGGTCCAGGCCCACTTATCTTAGCCACGTTTTCTCCAACCCATAATAGGGACAACAAATAATGGCCTAGGTAGGGCCGGCCTTAACTGTCAAATTATTTATAAAAAAAGGAATAAAAAAGCTCTAATTCCAACGTAGTCAGCAGAATCGGGCCTACCGCTTGACCTGTCACATCCACGTGGAGCTCGGGGTCCAAGTAATTCTCCAATTTGACTGACCTTTGATCATAATACTTTTCAACTTTTACTCCTGGTCAAATGTGGCATGCCATCACTATTTACAGCATAGAACTTCGGAGATTTTACTGAAGATTTTCATGGTAAACGGCTCAAAAAAGATCATTGTGCTGAAATAAACATTTTTTTTAATGTCAGAAACTTTTCAAATAGAGAAAGAATATGTTTTTTTTTCTATCATTTTGACTCATCTAAATCCTCGAGGATTTCATTAATAAATCCATTTTAATATGATATAATATACAAAAGGCCCTTACCGAGTCTATTTGGAGTGAAAAATTCAAAACTAACCACTTGTTATTTTTAAATTGATTCTTATAAAATTTTAACACACTAAAAATTAATTAGAAAATGACAGATGACTAATTTTGGATTAGTCTCTCCCAATAGGCTCTATATAAGTTTTTGTATAATATTTCTTGTTAAAATGAGTTTTTAAATAAATATCTATTTTCTGATCACCTTGAGCAAAACGGTTTTGCTACTACTACTAGCTAGCATACGATGAATGAATTATACTCTCATACTTGTTTTGGTGTTGAGTCATTTCACAATTTATCTTACTAAAATTATAAATTAAAAGTGGACTATGATTGTTTATTTCTTTGACCATAATTAAAAGACTAAGTATTTTATTATTATTAATAAGGACGAGGGGATTTAAATTGGGATATCTTTCAACATTATAAAGAAAAATACTGCTTCAGCATAACCACGTACCCGATATATATTTTATTAACAGAAATTCGGACATGATAAATGTTGTGTTAAGACACTTCAGCGATGAATTTATGAACACAACTATACATAATACATAGCAACTGTTATGTTGACTTCAACTTGATTTAATTTAATTGAAGGGCTTGCTCCAATTGGAAAAACGTACGAAATTATGGATGCCAAATAACGGTTCCTCCGAATCAAAGTAAACAGAAGCAATAACAGCAGTTTCTAGTTTGTTTCTTGCACGGCCTGGAAATTACTAGTCAAGGAAGATAAGGTGGGTTTTCTGTTGATCCCTTTTTGCATACGCCTCTCTCTCTCTCTCTCCCCTTTTCTTTGTAAAAAAGTCAAATGTTTTTTATGCCACCATTTCTCTCACCCTCCTAAATTTGATTTTTACTTACTTCACCCATCGTGGCACATCAGGCATCCATCTCAGCCGTCCAATACTTCACCCACAACAAAATCCAACCGTCCATACTCTGAACACTCAATACAAATTACGAAGACACCCACCAACTGCAGGAAGACTCTGTTTCAACGTGCTTCATCCTCAATCTGACATGAACCCACCTAGCCTCCTCCCATTGGGCAACATCTCCCACGCGCCACCTTGGTGCGTTGATCTTGACTATGAACATATTGGTCCCAGCAACTCTGATACTCTGAGGTAATTAATTTTGTCCAAAAGAGAGGAGCCAATTTACATCAGCATCCACCACCACAACCATAGATGGATGGAGAGATAGATACACATATACGTACAAAGCACACCTAAACATTCCAGACAGCAACATCACCGCCACTTCCACAGCCACCGGTGCCACGTCATCACCGCCGACATGGGTGCTGCAGAGCCTGTAAAACAACCATCTTTACCATTCAACAAATTTTCTTGTTTTGTTGTTGTTGGTCGTGTAAATGCCAAAAAGGTCTGAACTTTGGTGTGATATGCAGGTGGTGGAGAGAGAAAGTGAAGAAGTTGAGGTGAGAGGGGAAAATGGGGAGAAGAAGGAAGAGGGGGAAGAGAGAGATGTTGAGAAAGGTGAGGAGGTGGGTTTTGAATATGAAGAACAGGCGGTGGCTGCAGAGAGCAACACCAATGATGACCATAATCAGAGAGATGTTCATATGTCAATGATGCATAGGCTAAATCCTACAAACCCTTTGAGAATCGTCATCAATAGTAACACCAGAGCTGCAACTCCACCTCCTCCTTCTCGGTTCTCTCATGGAAGTAATAATATCAGAGTTGGTGCTACTCCATCTCCTCCTCACTTCTCTCATACTCCCCCGCATTCTCAGCCTCGTTCTACACCAAACCCACAAGTAAGTTTTTTTTTTTTTTTTTTTCCTTCCCACAAAATTAAACATTTGGGGTAGCTTAGCTTTCATCAGTTTGTGATTTTCAAGTCAATTAAGTGATGTTTACGGAAGATTAAACAAGGATATCCCAGTTTTTATTTTCTTGGAATACCTTTTTAATTTTATTTTTTCCTAGAGTTCTTTCATCAGTTTGAAATGATACAGATGCTTTATCTGGGAGTTACTTGTACAAAATTTTGTTTTTAACTTTTTAAGTTCCTCTTTTCCTCCTTTTATTCCAATGTGAAATGGAGTCTTTTTTGGGTCTCTTTCTATGCCATTAATTCATTGATAGAAACTGTATATGCATAGTTCGTGTAAGAATTTGTAAATCATCAGTCTGATATGTTGTTGGGTTTTCTCTCAAAATTTTCACCAGCCATCTATTACAACACTGAATTCAAGAAAATACACCAACAAGATATCTCTGTTCCTGTTCCTTCTACACATGGTTGCAGCTATTGGGCTTGTTGGTTTTCTTATATTCAAGGGAGTTCAGGGGCTGATAGAAGCATCTGACAACAGAGTTAAGAGAGCAGAGAAAAGAGTTTTAAAGTTTTTTCTACCACAAGTTGAAGCTGCATCTCTTTTAAGCATTACCCTTGCATTTGCATGGCAAAAGGCAGTGAGGGTGTGGCCTAAATTTTTTGTTCATTTCATATTATGGACCACTTTTCTCATGTCTCTGTCTGCTGGAATTCTACTAATTTGCTTCCAAAAGCCTGCTAGTGATGGCGTTGGGGTCTGTTTTATTGCTTTTGCAATAGGCAATGGCTTATATGCATGTTGGATATCGCAGCGGATTGGATTTTGTAGCAAGATATTGATCAAATCACTCGAACCAGTATCAAAGTTCCCTGATTTGAATCAACCCATTTATTGGATGCTTGGGGTTGGATTTTTGTGGATGTCCCTATGGAATCTAGCAGTAATTGGAGCTCTGAATTTCTATTTTACCCCACTGATGATAGTTTTGCTGGGATTGAGCTTGGCTTGGACAGCCGAAGTAATGAGGAATGTGGCAAATATAACCGTGAGTAGGGTTATTTCTCTGTATTATCTCAGAGGAATGCAATCTAACACTAAATTTTGCTTTCAAAGAGCCTTGAGTAAAAGTCTTGGAAGTGCATGCTTTGGATCTCTCTTTGTGCCTGCAATTGAAACCCTGAGAATTGTTGCTCGAGCCTTAAATTTACTTGAGGGAGAAGATGAGTTCATGTTTTCTTGTGCACATTGCTGTCTCAGAGTCATGGAGTCCATCTTCAGATATGGCAATGGCTGGGCCTTTGTACAGGTACCTTTATTCATAAGCCATTATCAATTGATTTTGAGATTAATTTTCTTCAATTCTATTTGCATATCATACAAAGCAGAACAAAGAACTATAACATTGGTTCCTAGCTTCTTTTTCAACCAGAAGGGATTTCTTTGGCATTGCAAAATATATTTGTTTAGCCAGCTGATCAAAATTTCTATAACACAGTGCGACTTTACTGGCCGTTCCTTCTATCATGTTTGAATAATATGGATAACGAATTATGCTGACAGCTGATTATGTCTGCTGTTTGTGTCAATGAAATCATCTGTAAATGAGTTATCCTACCTGCTATGGATAAAGAATAAATTTCTTGTTATTAAATGAATCAAATTAGATGGAACTTCTTTGTCAGAAGTGTACGTGCAATCTATTGGTTTAATGTAGATTTTACGTCATTCGCAAATGTCATGTAAGATCATGATTGGTTATTTAGTTTTCAGAGTGATTCAAAGCATCAGCATATACATTTATATTCAACATCAAGTTATTTTTCGCCCAAAGTTTTTTCTTTTAACATTTTTTTAGGCAATCTTTCTCAATTTGATTGTTAAGTTACTACTATCTTGTCAACTCACTTGTGATCACGGTCGATATTTTGAATTACTTATGATGCAGTCGTTGTCTAAATGGTCAATGGTTTAGCACTAAATTAATAGAAGTTAAACTCAGTTATCTTAATTTCAATCAATTACTATCAGATAGCAGCATATGGGAAGGGTTTTGTGAAGGCGTCACAAGACACTTGGGAGCTCTTTGAAAGACAAGAAATGGAACAAATTGTTGATTCGGATATTACCAGCTCAATCTGCTTCTTAACTGGCGTCTGCAGTGGCTCTATGTGTGTCATAGTTGTGGCTGCTTGGACAGCCAGAGTTCACCAAAGTTTCACAGCCACCATTTCCATCCTTGCATTCTTCATTGGATACCTTATGGTTGGTGGCCTCTATTTGACCAGTCTATGTTCATGCTCTTTTATTTTTATTTTTTGCATATAAACCATGTGATCAACTTGTCAATTCTTTAATCTTTATTGCTTTGCTCTTCAATTAATCAAACCTAATCAATGTTTATTAATTTTTGCTTTTTCAGACCAGGATAGCCATGACACTACCACATGCTTGTGTAGGTAGTTACCTTGTTTGCTATGCAGAGAACCCAGACAACAGATTATTTGACAACACAATTAAGGATCGTCTGGCTTTGATGAAATCTGGTCGAGATGTAGCCATCCTCACACCTCGAGTACCTCGCAGGTTTGCAGCAAGGTAAAACATAGTGACACTGCCATTAACTCCTCCCACTGCAGCACCACCATTTGCGCTCTCACATAGAAGTGTGAAGGAGTGCAGGAGGTGTTTTGGCACTCCCAAACATAGTTCCGGCCCTGATTTACCCTAGTTGTACGATATTATCAGGGCATCGGATATAGTTCGGACGGATTTTTGCACGTGCAAGTTATATATTTACTACCTCTTGTAACATGTATGTGTGGTCCATCGCGTGCATGACAATGGAAAGTATGTATGTGTAGCTGGCACATACAATAATTTTAGGGGAGTCGAGGAATCAGCCACAAATGAGCTCAAAGTTAAAATTACCTACAATTGCAAGAGTGAGTGATGGTGCTGGTGATCAAAGGTTTTTTGAATGGGAGAGTTGAGCATTATTGGATGTACTGTTGGAAGAAACGTGCAGGCACTGAGATTCCACCCAACAAGGCTTAAGAGGAAGTGTCCCTTGCTCCTTGTCCTTTTGAATAATGTATGTACTTTTGGCATATACCATATGCTAAAAATGGCCCACCGTTATTTTATTATCTTCACCTTGTTCAAAAAGACCCACCATTATTTTTCTATAATTATTCATTATTTAATTCTCTCTGATCTCAATCTTGTAGATATGCCCTCGAGTTTCGTATGTTTATGGTAAAGACTGAAAGTTTGGTTCAGCTTAATTAAATTAATGCACATTGTTGATACTGACACACTGCTTTAGGTTGGCTAGGATTGTTTAATGTGTATTGGCTGGCCTATCTATGCAGTGTCCCGAATGAGGCAATGAATGATAAACTATTCAATAGAGGACGTAGGTTGTCATGTCATGTGCCACGTGTATTTATATCAATAGGTTTGTAAACAAGTTGGTAGCTATAGAATTATTGATAAATAAATTATTGATTTGAATTTTTTTTTCTGTCGACAATCGAGAAATCTGGATAATGTAAAAATAAAAATATATATATGTATATTTATTATGAAGTTCAAATGGAATGATTGGAGGAGCCATAGTAATTGGAGTGCCAGTCAAAAATCTTATGATTGGATTTCATACAAAATCATGATTCATGAGCTGATCACATATTCTTTTAGTGGTAAAAGTTCTTTTGAATATAAACCAACCAAAAAAAAATGATTGTCTGGTTCTGGTGGCAAGCATTGTTGCCTGTAGGGAAGAGCCATGATTAAAAATATTGTTGACGTTCGAACCCAAACAAAAAAGCAATGTTAAAGTTGAAAGCGTAAAACATTAACTCTTTGAATACAAGCGATGTTTTGAATTATAAAGACACTACCAAGATGTTATGGGTTCGAATTTGAGATTAATAATTTGCAAATCAAGACCTTTTTTCAGTAGGCTAGACCCATTGGAACTAAATTATTTGTTTATCAAGCTTTATAGCCTTTTCTTTAAAAAAGAAAAAGAAAAAAAGAAAGAAGCTTTATAGCTGTGATTCCAGATATTAAGAATATAATTTAGCTGTTCATTTTTGGTTTCATGAAAAAGAAACCAACTCATTAATATAATTTCCCTCTAACCTTGTAACAATTGCTAATAAATAAGATAAAAGATTCGTACCCTTTTTTGGCAATAAAAAATTCCTCATTTGTTTGCTTGTAGGGTGGGTAGGTCCAATCTACCTTTGCTCGTTACCTTTTTTCTTTTCCATCATAAAAGAAAATGGTTCATAAACCAAACTTATTATCACGTGTGACATATATAACGTAAAGTAAGAGAATTTGTACAAAGCAATAAATATTTTGCCATTTGGCATTGCATGCAGTTGTAACTAAACAACTTGTTTAGAATGTCATCCATACGTCATCCACGTCTCGCCTAGTGAAAAAGGGTTTTGATTGGTAAATTAGTGATCTCAAGTTCAAATTCCATAACATCTTAATTATATGTGTGAGAAGCACCTTCCCATGTAATTTAGACTATCACTTGTATTAAAAAAAATGAATAGCAGCCTTACAACATGGAGGCAATGATTTGCCGTTGGGACAAATTTTTGACGATGTTCGATGTCTTCTACAGCATGTTCCTGATTATTTATTTGAATTTGTTCCAAGAGAAGTCAATAATGTGGCACATACATTGGCAAAATTAGATTTGTTTAAGGAGATTTATTTGACTTGGCTAGAGGTGGCTCTGATTTTATTCAGGAAGTCCTGTTACTTGTTTCTATTGATCTGAGTCAGGCTTCATGCCCCCAGTTGTATTTCTTGATTTCAATAACTGAGTCCTTGTGCTGTGGAGGCTTTATCTCAAAAAAGAAAAAGAAAAAGAAAAAGAAAAAAGAAATAGATTGAGTCATTTTCAACTTTATCTTTGTGAGCTTGTACGAGTTGTAATATTTGTTTTTGGCATAAAGCATGTTTTTTACTTATAATTTGGTGTAATTGCGTAGGCGTAGGCAACCAAGCACAACCACTTTGCCATTAGTGTTAAAGCACCGTATAGCCTCGGTAGCCTTTGCTTGTGTCAAAAATGTCAAGGGGAAATATGATACGACAAGCACCAACTTGGGCAATATACAGAGTTTGAGTTTTAAACGCCAACTTAGAATAAGAAGCTTCCTTATATTATTATTTGGGACAGTCTTGTTGCCCGTGTTTATCTAATATTGTAGATTAATTTGTATGTTTGAGCTTCCTTAATGGAATTCATCATTCGACCCAAAAAAAAGAAAGAAAGAAAGAAAAAAAAAAAAAAAAAGGTTCCTTGTATGGGTCCAAGGATTTGGAGTTGGATTTAGATTGAAATCTTTTAACCTATGCATTTAAAATTTGAGATATTTAATCCTATACCCTTTCTTAGCACTATATAGATAAACTCTATACCATTTAATTTCTATAAACAAACCTAAAAAAATTCAAAAAATAACAGCTGACCTTATTGAATTTAATTTTAATTATTAAATTACTTTGATACTCTATTGAGTATTTTTGAATTTTTTATGAAGTTTTGAGGTTGAACTTGTTTTAAAAAATTGATGGCAATTTTGTAATTTATAAGAAGTTAAAAGCCTCTTTGTTATGTTATAAATGAACTTTGGATGTGTTTCTAAAATCCATTTTATATATGGTATTTTTATAATTTGGGCCTCTATATTAAGTATAATAGTGAATCTCCCTTAAAACTTATAGATTTCAGATCTAACTGTTTGGATGAAATATTTTATACCAACAATTTTAGTTCAGGAGACCGGAGAGACATACCTGAAAAAGAAAAAGAAAAATTCGAATCCTTCCAAACTCCTAATTTCATATGTTATTTCAAATTCTTATTTTCGAGCCTGTGAAATCTTAAGTGAATTTGGATTATATCCATAAACACTTCAAAGTTTTTCTACCAAACTATATCATAAGCGGTTTTGATACATATATTGACCAAAATTTAAAACACATGATAAAAAAATCCGCCATTTCAGAGTACTTTAATATTAATTATGCAATATTTTTAATGCGTTGTATAATTTTTCAAACATATGTCAAAAATATATACAACACATGGATATCCAAAAGTTGCAAAAGAAATACATTAAACATGAAGAATACGCACACTTGCACAAAAAACAATTGATGTTAAAAAGTGTGTATATCATATCTTTGCAAAGTGTACAGAAAACGCAAGGTATGTTTTAAAAATACGTACATACATTTATAATACATGTACCATACGCAAATATACTAACTAGGTTGACAAATGTCCGGGCTAATAAAGCACATGTCCAGTTGAATCACACAGATGTCGCTGCACATGAAACGTAAAGCTACTCAGTGTACTCATCCTAGCAGTCTTAGAAAAAAAGAGAGCACATCACTACATCAGAAGGGGCCGAACCAGGTGGGGATTTCGACCTTCTACTGCTTTGCTCTAGCCTTAAGTCTAGAGCAAGAAGATTACAAATGCATTTTTATACAATCGTTCCAGCAGAAACATGTTTGGGAGAAAAAAAAGGGGCAGGGGTTGGCAGTTGTATACTCCAGAGTGGCAAAAGAGGATGCCATCAACCAAACAAAATGGCATCCCATTCTCATACAACTTCTGGTCTTTATACTATACCAAGTTAATCTGTGCTCTTAAAACACATGCAGACTAGGTAGAATTCAAATGGATGAACACACACAGAAAAAGCAGTCCAAGTGGGAAAGGCCACTCTCGATGAATATATCACATGGCTGTATACATAATTCTACATATGAATAGCATGCCTATCGCGAAAAGAAAATAGGGGTGGGAATCAAATGGCTAGTAGTAGAGAAATTCAAGGCCAGGGCAAGGCTGAAAATTAAGTATGGTTTTCTTAATCAGTTTGCTAGTATATAACAAATTCTGCAACCGACAAGCTATTTAGACTATAGATTAAAGTGCCGATAAGTTAAATTGAAAGGTAGAAGAAAATCTTCATACCCATATAATTTAATAAAAGAAAAAAACAACGTAGAATCAAAGAAAGAAACCTACAATGCTAGTTAAACCAAATACATTAATTCCTAATCACAATATCCAAACCTTCACCAGATAACTTGACCCAACTTACATCACTGACAAGGCTGACTTTTCACACAACATCATATTGTTTTCTGCATGTTCTCTTTTTCAAGAAGTGAACTTGATGCTTTAGCAAACTCCTAAGAAACAGCAAATAGTGTAAGAAATTGATTAGCAAATGCTCATTGGTTGCCCATTCTTGCCACACTATTGCATATCAAAGCTTTTGTTCAGTGCACGGATAAAAGCTTCCATTCCATTTCCTTGTAATTTTCTATCATTAATGTATTATAAAAGTTGTAACTTTTTTTGCCTATACTTTGCTGGATCCACGGTCATTCAACACCTTGGAATGCCTAAAGAAATTCAATACCCGTTGTGCACCAGCATGCTAATACAACTCATGTGTCAAAGCAGGTTAAAATTCTAAACATTAAACAAACAAATGAATTAGGAGCCTGAAAGGGAGCAAGATGCTGCTACAAAGAACAATTGCCAAAAACAGAGAAACTTTCATTTCTAACTGCTTATGATTAAAAGCATTGGCAATGAGAAAAAAAAAAAGATCTCCAATCAAACAGGCAGACTACGTAGGTCAACTTAAATCATCTAACTTAATTTCAGAGACATGCTCACCTTAAAAAATGCTACTGTTAGTCATTCTCAATATATCATTAATCCCTATATGTCTGATGTTGACACGTGCATCAAATAAACCTCTCTTGTATACAATGATGTGCTTCTCTTATGACAAAGTAGTCACTTGCACATTCCTACTTGAAATATATACATATAAAAAAAGAGTCGCCCATAATCCAGCCAGAAAATTGCCTTTGGGCACAAAGACAGCTCCTCCCCATTTAAGAACAAGCCTGTAATCTCGTGGGAGTGTGGCTTGCTGAATTACCAAGCAAATAAAACAAACCTAGCCAGCTCTCCTATTCTATTTCAGTATTATTTGTAAACTCTGCTTCTAATATAATTCAGTACTATTGACCAAAATAAAATCAGTACTAATTGTTAAGGAGCATCAGGCACCCATCATCAAACAGAACGAAAACACATCAACAATATAAATCTCTTATCAACGCACAATCATGCTTCTGAATCAGTAATGCATTCATAAACTAAATTATCAGGGAAACTATTAGCAGACAACATAAACAAAAGACCCTGACACAATAAACAGCAAATAAACAAAATATGACAACATAAACCACTCAAATCAGAGTATGTATTTAAACGTCAACACCTTAATACAAATACCATATAAGTTCTGAACCCTCAAATGCATTTTCCAAGTTGCAGTAAGCATCAAAACCATAGATTAAGTAAAACAATAGAAAATACACTTTCCCCAGTTCCCAATTTACCTCTCTCACTCTCATCCCGCTCTTGCCTCCGCCTTCGCATTCCCTCTCTCCACCTTTTTCGCCTCTGTCTTTTCCGGTTTCACTGCCTCCCCCGAACAACACCCACCTCCATGTTCATGATGGTGATGATGGTGATGATGATGCGCATGCCCATGCCCATGACCATGTCCATGACTATGTCCATGTACCTTCTTCCCCTTCAGCTCCTTCCTCATATCATACGCATCTTCCCCATCGGCATAGTACTTAGCTTCAACGTCATGAATCTTATACCCCAAAGTCTCCGTATACAAGTTGAAAGCCGCACGATTGCTCTTCCTCACATGAAGCGAGACGTACTCAGCTGCAAACACCTGTTCCATGGCGTTCTGGGCCGCGCTCATGAGCTTAGTGGCGAGGCCGAGTTTGCGGTGGGTTCGGAGCACGGCGAGCGAGGTGATGTGGCCATGGCACTCGTTGCTCTCCTCTTCCATCTTGGCTAGGACGTAGCCGACGATGCGACCGTTGTAGTCTTCGGCGACGTAGAGGAGCTGAGGCCATGAGAGGATGTGGTAGAGGTAGTATTTCATCTGGTAGTTCTCTGGGAGGCAGAAGAGGTTGCAGGCTTGCATGGCCAGGAGGTCGTCTATGGTGGCCTTGCGTATGCACACCATTTTTGGGGGAGGGTCTAGGTTTCTAGGGTTAGGATTTTAGTTTGATTTGATTTTGGGGAAGAAGAAAATCAGAGTGAGGTCAAAGAAATGAATTGAGGGTTCTGAATTTTTAATGAGATTGGCTTCGGGTGGGTGTGAAGGCTTGGGCTCAATCATGGGCTTAATCAAATTACACATGGGCTTAAAGTCTCTAATTTTCCAAAAAGGGAAACAAATTCTGCCATTGTTACAAAAACAAACTTTGGGGTTAAAGGACTTTTATTTATTTATTTATTATTAACATGCAAATGTCAATTTTTTTAAAAAACAAATGATAGTCTAAATTAGGGTATCTCATACGCACAACTAAGATGCCATGAGGGTGAACCTGAGACATCTTCTCGACAAGCCAGTACCGTTTTCTACTGGACTAGCCCCCGTTGACTATAAATTTCATTAGATAAATTCCAACAATACAATATAACAAATACATTTACAAGACAGAAAAAGCACCAAACCTTAAAAACCCATAAAGGGAAATATGCATGATTAAGCTATGATGAAATTCTTCCTTTTTTTAAAATACTTATTTTTGTAAAAAATTTATATTTACCAGTTCTGCTATCAGAAACAAGAAGGCCACATAAGCAACTTCCATGTTTAATTTAAACGTTTTCTGTTACCTGTTCAATTCTGTAACTGTAGGTAAATTGGACCAACTATTTTTCTCAGGAGCTATATTGAAAACAGGTTTGCATTTTTCAAGAATAAAGTGTTGTAGTTTGTCCAAGAACCAGAAGCTAAAGTACGAATCTGAGAAAAGAAAACAGGGAAATGAGGTCTTGACCATAAACCATAATATAAACAACTGGAAACTGAGCGTATTTCAATGAAATGATCGATAATCATACATGAACTTATAGATCTACATTTATCATGAATATCATCATATCCTAGCAAAAACAGAATGGCCTCAGTCAAGAGTCAAGATCAACAACACCTAAGGAAAAGGAGTCGCCTCTCAGCCTCAGTCAAATTTCCAGATTCTGATGTACTTGCTGTTGTGTGTGGTGATAACCTTCTTCATCCCTACAGCCAAGCACGTAATTGGAGGTCGACAGCTTCTGAGAATGCTGTCAATGGTGGTATCTTCTGAAAGCCTTCTTCCCCTCGTTCTTTGTGTAGCCCCAAGTGTGTTTTGTGAACTTGGTGATAAATAACCGTCCAAGATGCATCTTGAAATTACTTCACCTGTGCTCTGATTCAGTAGACGTAGCACACCATCTATTCCACCAACAGCCAAAGTTGATGCATCATTTCTCTGGTGTTGCATTGAATATACACTATTTTGACTCACTCGTGTCTTCCACAAAAGTCCCATCCTGAATTACATAACGGAAGAACATGGTCAATCAACTACAACTGGATTACATCATCTGTTACTGTCAAAAGAGTGAGATCCAAGGGTGGAGGTGGCGCCAACTAGGACAGAAAGAGTCAGGCTGACCCATTTTTGAGGTTTTGTATACTACTTGTATGATTTCAAAACAATCATATAAAAATTATGGATTCTATTCGGAGTAGTTCACTCCGAGAGAACCCTAAATGACTGTAAAGAAAGTGAAGATTCGAAAACCATGAAATGAATGAATTCGTCCCTATTGAGAAGCCAATTACAACGGATGGGCAATACTGACCACATTGACAAAAGCTGAACACGATTAATGAGAGGTACATGAACATCACAAATTGAAAGTTACCTCCCACAATTCTATTACAAATGTTGTTCTGTAAGAAGCTATTAGGCTTGACTTTTCTTTTCAGAGATTTAAAGTAATGCAAACCTAGTATTTAAAATTGTAATGATGTGGAAATATGGAAACAGATAACATAGATTTCATCAGAAATTAGAAAGCTAAAGTATGAAATAGATTTACCCAGGTAAGTTGAGATTCTTTAAATAACATATGAAGTCATATTCCATACCTTAGGTCCCAACAAAGTCCATATCCAGTAGCAGTTCCAGCAAATACTTGGTGAGAGCATGGGTTGAAACATAAAGTCTTTATGCCTGCCATGAAAAGTTTAAACTAGATTTATGCTCTCATGAATATTAACTTACCACTCCATGAAAGAGTATTAATAAAACCCATAAATATATTACTTAGCATATATTATATGTCCCAACAGAGCCAACATTTCCAAACAACTGCAATGAGATCTCTTTCATTTCTCTTTCACATGAATACAATTCATTCAACAAGAACATAAGGGTACAACTAAGACTACATCCAGCAGTTATCAAGCACAAACATATGTTAGAGAGTACAATTATGGCTTCTAGTTGATCCCATTTGCAGCCCACAAGTACTCACGAAAAAGAAAACAGAGAGTACTCTATTCATTTATAGTCAATTAATAAGTTCGGGTTTCAACTCTCTTTCTCTCTCTCTCTCTCTAACAAAACAAAAAATAAACTCCAGACAGAAGACAAAATTACTGTCCATGTTATGGGCATACAAAGAAGCAAATATTTCAGAAAACAGCAGATATAAGATAACCATAGTTAGAATCTGATTGTACTCCAAAAGTTCTTGGTAGAGCAGGCATAAAAAGTAACCTGAGGAATCTTGTGATCGTAACTTCACTACCCGCTCGCCAGATGAAAGTGCAGATAATGTGACATCGCCAAGAGAAGAACCACTAAGTATCAACTGATCATCACTCAAACATAAGCATTTTACTGGCCCCTCATGTGCCCTACAATCAGGAATCAAAAGAAAATAACATGGAGTCCATAAACCATTGAGCAATATAAATGCATATTACAACAATACTGAGAATTTTAAGCCAGACAGGAAGTTTAATCTAAACTATATATCCCCTTGGCCCCTTTACAGGCAAGAATCTATCTCTCGCTTGAAAATGCATGTCTACAAGTCAAACGGTCTTCTTAAGCCTTATTCATTAGCTCTATTTTTACAGGAAAAAACAAATATAAACACCATTACGAAAATGTATTTCTTGCAGTGGATACCTAATGATTTGAGAACATTTTCTACTGTACATGTCAAATACACGAACTGTCCCATCCTCACAGCCGACCACAGCCTCAGGATCGCAGTAACTGCATTCAGAGAAGAATGTAATATTTGTACACACCAAAAGCAAACTTTCAAATATATATATTCCAAAACAGAAATAATCCAGTAGAGAGAATTTTCACAATATTTTGAAGGACCTTCAGCAAGTAAAGCATCTTGTATAGCATTCGAGTCTATAACAATAATAGTGGCAATACTAGTAACCTAAAACAGAATATAATCAATCAAAATTAGGGAATAGAAGCTCAAAAGTAAAATATTCAGACAATCAAATGCTCAACCATTTGATGAAAGAAAGTAAATAATAAATCTCCAAGTTTAGGTTCTTAGTCTTTACCATGCATATTGCTGCTGATGAAGCAATGCATTTTACCACTTACATTTACAACTAAAATTAATGACAGTATTATTATTTTGTCTACATACCGCATGCATAAACCCTTCGAAAAGGTTCCCTCATGCGAGGGAAATATTCTTCTTATCCCATTCTGCCTCCATATGCATATACGAGTGCCAACCAAGCCAACAATCTACAGAAAAGTAAGAGGGTTGTATAGATATCAGAAAATTCCCTTAATAAAAGAAAACAACGTGCTTTCAATACGTATAATTAATTGGATGCATTAGCTATTCACATTGAGGATGAGAGGTCAAAATTACCATGACGAATCATCCATATCAGTCTAAACTAGAGACGGTTAAAAAAAAAAAAAGGGGGAATTATTTCCAAGGAAGCTAGAAGAATTTAGTACGCTCAATAGCATATTTTACAAACACATATATTCTGTCACATAATCGATGTTAATGCTACACTTGCACTTGTACGTTGATCTATTAAATGAAGATGCATACATGACATTCCAATCCTACAAGAACATGTGATCTAGCAAACAACAACAGTCACTGTCTTACATTTTTTTTGGACTGATATTTGATCTATAACATGGTTGATAGAATTTCAGTACATTTGCTTAAATGAAAAACCAAAAATTAATAGTTCAACTGACCTTGCTCTCATCAAAATCAAAGTCAACTAAACGGACTCTGTCTGGAATGGGATATTCCCCTACACATTTATAGCTCTCCAATGACCAAAGACGCATAACCTAGCATCAATGCCATGCCAAAAACTCAGAAGAATTACACTGAAAATAAAGCTTGTGAAAGGATAACCACAAAACTATTGACAATTGTGTAGGTTCTGGATTCTAGTACTACAAGCTATCAAACGGAAAAAGCCACCGAGCAGAACAAGCAAAGGCCAAAGTTGCTCAAAAAGACGTAACCTGTTGAAAGGTATGATAGAGAAAACAGAAAAGGCTAGAAATGCAACAGAGGCCTTGGCTTAAGTGGCAAAGCAGTGAGGGTTGGTATTAAGTGGAAAAGTCCATACATGCAAGTTGAGCTAGTTTGAACTGGCAAAAAAGGACCATTGATTCAATAATACTATTGTCCTCAAACAGAAAAATTATTTCACAGCCAAACTCATTTAGTTTAGATATGGCATTTTTTAATATGACCTTAAGCCAAATTCACCAGCTAAGTAGGGAATACTTGTACAAATGATACATATGTTGGCCAGATACCAATACATATGATTTACATTCTATTGTAACAAGTCCACAAGCATATTCAAAAGCTAATAATAATTCGTAAGGTAACTTATTTCTTGCTTCATGAATACGTCAGACAGTATACAATTGAAATATCACCATGAAAAAAATATAGGGAGGACTAGTGGTGTAGGAACTTATAAGTTATGGAGCTTAAAATAATCTAATGTTCCCTTCTTAGTTCTTCTGTGGATCAGAAGTTTGTGCATTTTGATAATTATAAGTTATGGAACTTAAAATAAATTTATACATAAAAGCTAGCTTTGTAAGCTCTGTACAAGGGAAACTACCTTATCACCGACGCCAGTAAGAAGCAACCCCATCTTCGTTCGACACTGTTCACCCCTAATAGAGAGCAAGGTTAGAAAAATGATACATCCCCGTAGAGAGCAGCAGGCCTAGGCTTCACATACACAGTAAGACAAATCCCCTCCCTCATAAATCTATGAGCCTACTTACACTCATAGCCAACTAAACCAGACATGTAACTTGAGAATTTGTTTGATGCCCCAGGTTCAGAATCTTGTAATACCAAATACAGAAATTATAATCTTAACTGTGATTAAAATTGAAATATGAGGAGTGAAATATCTCCTGAGGTTTAACGAGATTAGGGTTCATATTTGTTTGCCACTCTCAGTTAATGAGACAACTGATTTCTTCACTAAAGGTCTTCACAAGCAATGGTCCAAGTTGTTAAGCTTCAAATTCTTTGATGTACGACCCCTTGATTAACTGCTAGATTGTTTAGGTTACTGACATCTAAAACCTTCATGTATTGTAATTCTTTTTTGGTTGAATCATGTAAAATGTAAAGACACACAATTATTCAAAAAAAAACCTTTACATGAATGAAGAATCACAACAATTCCATCATACCCAACAATAAAACTAGAAAAGTAAAGGACAAAAAAAGAGGTAAAATTGAATTGTAAGGACAAAGGCAGTACCCAACAGAGTGACCCCTCAAGTGATCAACACGAATTCGACCTTCCTGTAATGCCAGTCTATGACGCTCCACAGCCATCTCCTCCAAATAATCCTTCCAAGATTCCTCAGGACATTCTTTAGACCTATTGCTGGAACCCAGAAGACCCGTCTGCCATTTTTTGCGGTAAAACAATTGGAGCAACTTAGAATTGTTGATAATCGCACTCCTGCATTGAACAAAAACCCATTGCAAATTCACCTTCGAAATTCCGGAAGAACAAATAGTTGAAAGAGAGAGTGGGAGAGCCTACCAGGATTTGCATACGACGGAACAACTTGCGAGGTCGAAGCAGTCGAGTAAAGAGAAGATGATGCAAAGGATGTCGTGTTGGAAAGAGCCCACTGTGGTCGGAGCTCTTGCTCTTGAGCTTCTGCGCGGCCTCTTCTTGTCGCCGGCGAGAGAGAGATCCATATGTGGTGGTAAGCTTCCGGCTTCAACGCCTGGCTGAATATTATTTTTTTCAGTCTCTGTCTATCTGCTGGTTAAAGTCGTCGAGTTCTAGGTCTATACTTTTCTTCCGGCGAAAAACGAACGAGAAGGTCTCTGACTCTCTGGTTAGTCTCACTAGTTTGAATAGGATTCGATTAATGTCTTCGAAGGTTGTGTGATAATCAATTAATTTAATTGAAAATGCATCCATATGATATTTTTGGGCAAGATGTTAAGTTTTTAATCGAGTTTTCTATTTAAATCATGCACTTCTCTTTGTTCACCTCATATTCTAAGTTCACTCCAACTTCTAATTTAAGTTTTCACAATTTCTAAAAAAATCACATTATTTTCCCAAATTACCTCTAAATACACACCCAGTAGGAAAAAAAAAAACAAACAAAAAAACTCATAAACTCACACTCCACAGCCCACTATCAAATGAACCGACAAGCTCTTTTCAATTGTCAATGCGATCTTGATACGGACTATACCAATCAAATGCTTGGAGGTTGGAATGATTATGTCTAATAAAATGTTTACAGATTTGGACCCCTACACAGACCAACATTTATCATTCTTGGCGCACATAACATGGTAAAGAATTTATATCTCTGCCAAGAACATGTTTACTGTGGATTTTCAAATCAGTTTGAGGAAATGAACAAGTAATTTTTACATGAAGATCATTCGACTGTTGGTAGGATAACCATGCACAACACAAGCACGAGATGGACTGTGCTCATAAAGAAGAACCGCGATTATTATTTTTTTGTAAAATAACAGAGCGATGGGCTCTATTTTTTTTTTGGTAACAAATGGCTGTTGGCTATCCTTATATGGCTCTTTATAGATGTATTAGGGTTAAGTATTAAGTTGGATGACTTTTTTTTGTGTGTGTGTGTGTGTGTGTGTGTGTGTGTGTGGTCTTTTTACACAATAATAAAACTTAAAAGCTTATTGATTTAAGTATTGGGGTCAACAAAGAAAAGTGTGGAGTTTAAATAGAAAAACTCTTTTTAATCTCAATGTTGGGGGTACTCTTTCACAACATTATTGATTTATGTTGATGACATTGTTATCACGAGCAATGACCCTATAGCTATCTCGGCACTCAAGGATTTTTTGCACAGTCATTTTTCGTATTAAAGATCTTGGAGATTTGAAATACTTTCTGGGGATTGAAGTATCAAGATCAAAACAAGGCATTTTCTTATCTCAATGCAAGTATGCATTGGAAATTTTGAAGGATGCAAAACTCCTAGGTGCTGCACCTGTTGGTTTTCCTATGGAAAAAGGTCTTAAGCTCTCAGACAAGGATGAATTACTTAAAGATCCAACTCATTATAGAAGACTCGTTGGTTGCTTAATTTATTTGACAATCACAAGGCCATACATTACTTACTCTATTCATGTCTTAAGCAGGTTTATGCATGCCCCCACGTAAAACTCGCCAGGTCAAGGCAATATTATTGTTTTCTTAGAATAACTTGACTTTGCTTGCCTTCTGTGATTCTGATTGGGCAGGTTGTCCTCATACTAGAAGGTCTACTACAGGTTATTGTGTGTTTCTGGGATCTTCTTTAATTTCATGGAAATCTAAGCAACAGAAAACTGTATCTTTATCTTCAGTAGAAGCTGAATATAGATCTATAGTGGCAGCATGTTGTGAGTTGTCTTGGCTTCGATCCCTTCTCAAGGATTTGCACATCCTTCATCTTGAGGGGGAGTGATGTAGAACAGATGGCAGATTTAATCGCGGTTGAGCAAGAAAAGGGACGTGGTGAGTCGTTTGGCCTTTCAAAACTGCATTCGAAGTTCGAAGTTAATTCCAAATAAATTCTGTTTTTCCGTTTCGGAGTTACATAGTTAATTCCCAAAATAA